GATGACAATGATGATGACATCTTTCCACCAGGTGTAGGAGCAGTTGATAAGAGAAACATGATAATGAGACTGATCCCATAAACCTAGCATTTATAAGTGGTTTATGTATTGATACCTTTTGTACTGTGGTGTTTTCATGAACACTTCTTTCATAGGTGGTGTATGTCATTCATAAAGTTTATACTGTATAATAGTCTTTTTGCTATAAATATCAATATTTTATTTGTTTTTAAAAGTATATAAGAAAATAGTAGAGCCATGTACATGGATCACTTTATACTACCTGAAACATTTATGGTGTTGCTTGAAATGTAAACTTTCAACACAAATGTAACAGCCTAATACTCTGACAGTCCAGGTTGCTTGTGTCACGCACAGAAAGGAGGAAGTGCGTGACACAAGTGATCTGAAGCATCTGAGAATCAGGCTAAAAAAAGTAAAGGATATAAATAATATCAAAACCAGTTTAGTTAGGCCCTCTCACCTAATGTTGCTGTTGTAGTTCCTTGTATGTATGTGATAAAAAAAACATACAACTTGCAATAATACTGTTAACATGTATGATATAATAAACTTTTAGATAACTCAATACTGACAACAAACTCAGGTTTACTGTATCTATGTTCATGTTTGTGGTCAAATAATCCCATGTTCTGCAACACAATAAAAAATTATGGAATCAAGGTTACTCTTTGTTCAATGATTTTTCAAAAACATTCAAAAATCGGCCGATGAGTGCCATGCGTTCATTGTGCATATTTTCAAACTTTTTAATCTTTTCCTTTTCTTCCTCTTTCCTGTCTTGTGTAAATTCCTTAAAGAGCCCAACGAGGTCTTCTCTTTTCTTCCGCTCTGGTAACTTCTTTTTCTTTGCTTTTGTAACCACAGGCTCCTCTGTGTCACTACCTGTGGAACTCAATGTGGAACTGGAATTTTTAACACTCTTGACTGCATCTTTGCTCCGTTTACCATCAATGTTGCTGCACAATGTTTTTGGAGCGATGGCATCATCTTTCGAAAATATTTCGTGAAGTTCGTCATAGAAGTTGCATTTCTTTCGGTCATTTCCGCTGACTTTGTTGTGATCAACACAAGCAACATAACTTCTCTTCAGATTTTTCAATTTCGTCTCACACGCCTTGGCATTAAAGAACACTCCGTTCTTCTTTAATTCTTCGCTGATTTCTTCCCACAGGGACTTGTTCTTTTTGTTTATATCTTTAAATCGTTCTCTGCGTTCGACATAGCAGGAAATTAACAACAGCACATCAGCTCTAGACCAGCGTACAAGAGCTCTCGATTCGCCTTCGGTGCCTTCACGCGACTGACTGAACGTGGCTGCAGCTGTTTCCAAAGAAGAAAAACTTGGACCAGGCTGAGGTGATACTGATCTGACTGTTTCATGGCTGAACTGTGATGCCTGCGGTGGTGGAAACATGAACTGAGGAAGATAAGGTTGAATGCCCGGTTGAACGTGGCTTTCGTTCCACTGATATTCTGGATATTCACCTGCAGATAAACTGTGCGTCCAATATTGTCCTGTAGATAGAAATAAAAGATGCCAAGACGCATCAAACATCCGGAAAATTTATAAAAATACGTACAGGACGGAAAATTTCGGTGAAACTACACAAAAAACTCACCTTGTTTATTCGCCATGGCCGGCAGCAGCTAATATTTACAACAAAATGGCGGGAATGTGGCGGATTTTAAGAAGACGACCGCTTGCCAAACGTACTGCTTTTTGTATCCGTGCAATAAAGAAACGCACGGATCATGAATCCTAAAAATCCGGATTTAGATTTGATCTAATGAATCCACTCGGAGTGTGGATTCTATAGATTCAAAATCCATTTTCGGATTTTATTAAAGAAACGCAAAATCCGTTTTTGGATTCAAGAATCCGGATTTGGATTTTTTTAAAGAAACGCACCCTTAGAGAAGTACTTTACAACTTTTTTTGACTGAATTAAAGCTACTTGATGTTTCTATCACTCACTAATTATTTTCCCAAATATTGGCAAAGATCAAAGTCATCTGAAATCACTGTAAAAAAAGTTGATGAACTGATACAGCACTTTTATGTACCTCAACTTTAACAGCACAAGTTGCAGTTGCCCCATACTAATTTCTATATCATTTGAGTACTTTACCCTGATAGCATTGCAGATGAAACAGAACTCAACACTGACACCTCTACCACCTAACATGAATGAAGCATTCGTCTTCTTCACCAAAAGAAGTACCAAGGTCTTGTAGTCCAGTACAACTAAGTTTGATAACAGAAATGGGAAAGCAAAAGTTAACATGCTAAATTTCCAGGAAATTAATCTCTAATGTATCTAAAGAAAAGGGTAGTCAAATCAATTTCTGACGTAAAATAGTAATAAATTCCAGGTTTTATTTCTTGCTGCTGCAGTTAAACCTTGAACATGTTTTACAATATAAAAAAACTCTTAATTTATTATAGTTTGACTACTGCTTCAATCTAGTTCTAGTCAGACTAACAACTGGGTAGAAACACAATAAATTGCTATAAATAGTATCATGAACAAGAAGTTGACTTTTAAAGCAAATTCCAAGACTAACATTGATTCTTACCCAGAAATTCAACGGTGTAATGTCTACCATCAACTGTCATTCCTTTTTCCTTTAATATTTTCTTCTGGTGGTTGATGTCCTCAAAAAGAATTTTGAGGTTGTCTCTGTCAACAAACAAAAACCAAAAATCTATACAGTCATTGTTATATTTAGTGCATTACATCCAAATTAGGGATATTGATATCAATCCACTTACATCTCAGAGTGGATGCATGACCTGGTGATATTGCAACTGAGTGGGGCTTACAAAAATCTGTCATTGTGTTATTTAAGTTAAATGCATATTCTAGCCAGAAGGTAGTAAAGAGTTCAAGCAAGTTGCAATTCACAAACCTGTCTTCTTTACAGTTGGCAATTGTCAATGGGTAGACTGATTTTGCACTTTGCTGGCTATATACAGCACCATCACGGGGAACAATTCCAAACAACACCTGAGCTCTACCTGCAAAACAGTTTTTTACACTTAATTAGTCAAGACAAAAACTGCACCCTTCACCAACCCATTTCACCTTACACATTATTATAATGACCACCTTCCATACAAAGAACTGCTAATGCAAGGCCAAAAAAATTTAACAGTTATAGTTATTTTGATTTGGAAGTACAACACACACACACTCAAAAAATATGTGGATGATTATCATACGTGGGGAACGACCTTTTATAACAATAATAATAAAATAATTTACAGACAAAACTGCAGAGACAGCATGCATTATCACATAATTTTACCCCAAAATGGTCTCCCATCAAGCTTCATCATCAGTCGCAAAGCATGTGAAGACAGCTGATGCAGCCTTTGTTCCCTTATGATTAACTCCACAACAGAACTCAAATTCACAGAGAAACCTTGTATAGGAGCCACCTTCTTAACCCCCATATACTCCTTACAAGCTCCAAAAACCATCCTCTTAGCTGCCTTGATCTGGTTTAAGTTGAGGAGGAGAGGCGTGAGAGAGGATTTCAAAGAAAATAATAGAAAGCAAGGTGATAAAAAGCAAAGATTAAACTTTTTAATCTAGGTTGATTCTTTGTATCCTTTGTCTCCTACTAGTCCTAGGAAACAAAGGAAACAGATAATCAACCTCTGTAGGTTAAAAAATCTTCCCTTGAACATAATTTTGACCTGTAACAATAACATTGCTACAGTCAGCAAGGGTCTTTGTGACCATTTTATGAGAAACTTTTATCACTTTGCCAGCCCTATGTTCTTCAAATTTGAAAAAATGAGTTAAAGTACTGCTTTTACCGTTAAAGCACCGCTTATTTTCCTCATATATATTTTTGAGTTCTTGATGAATAAAGCTCTACCAGTTCAAACAGCATCTATCAACAGAATTTCATGGGAAAAAACTTTAAAGATTATATTTTAAATTTACACTTGGTGTCATGGAATATTAATAGGAAGTAGGGCGATGACCTTCTATATTAATGGTCCAGGGTTTGTCACTAAGAGCCGGCTTCCAGCATATTTCACCAGCTGAAAAAGGGCTTACCACTGGCTCAAATTGCTCTGGAAAACAGACCTAGGGTAATTTTGAAGACGCAGTTGAGTAAAACGCCCGCTTAAGTAATAAAAAAAAGCCTGCTTATCTTTTCCTGTACAAGGCTTCGCTTACGAGAATAACTGAATAAAACAAAAGAAAGAGCTGCTATAAACATTGAGGCTCGCGATGGAATAGTTCTTTTTTTGTTCTTTTATTCCCTTAGCCGGGGCGCCAAGTATGAATATTAATAGACCGACGTAAGACCAACGTAACTAAACATCTTACCCCCGTCCTTCTGAGCCCTGTGATGTTTATCACGGATTGCCACGTTTTCGAAGAAACTCTCGCCATCGCCTGGAAAAGGACAAGCTTCCAATCAGGAACTCTCAGGCACGCCACGTACTTCGACATTGTGTCGTCGCCAACTAGCTCTTCCACACTCCTCTTTACTCCCCTTTTTACAGCCATCTCTTCGACAATTTCATTGACGATGGCCTTCGCTTCTGGGTCGCCAAATGCGCACATGTTCGAAAGCACCATCGCCAAACTTTCCCTGTTTCTTTCGCACACGTCATGCACGTCCTTGATGACGCGACTGCTTCGCTGCTTCATCAACAGCACCTTTTCTGGAGTATCCAAATCTTCCTTTTCGCTGATCTCCTTTAGATTTGGGGAAACATTCTTTTTTTCAGCTCTTTGCGAGTTTCCACTGTTTGGGGGTGTCATAGCCACAGATGATCTTGTTCGTTGGTGTCGTTGGCATTTCCAAGCATCGTGAAGCACGTGGTCGTTCTTTGTTTGCTTGGCCTTCATTTTCTTTGTCGATAGACATTTTACTGAGATCTACTGAGTTCAGCAAATCTCTCAGCTGCGAAATGAACTCAGAGCTTTCTGAAGAGGAACGGCGAAGCAGAGTGGTTATCAACCCAAACGAGGAACAGACAATTTCCGTTGCATTAGAGGACTTCTTGTTCGAGTAATGGTGGCCATCTAGCAGCCGAATGTGGGCACTGTCGATTCTTTGAAAATCGCTTGGAAAACTGGCGACAACAGGCGACCGCTTAAAGTATTGCGTCGGCGTTGATCCACAAACTTTCGAACTTAGAATGAACCAAATCAATTGTGGACTTAATTCAGGGCTGATGACCGGAGTGAAGGACGAGAAACCCTTCCTAGGTGCCATCTCTACTGCTACTGAATCACGCGTTTGAAATACGAAACTGCAAAGAAAAGATAGGCGGGAAAAAACCATGACATTCGAATATCGACATAGTAACATTATCCAGCTGCTAACTCGAGAGTGTTGATAATTTAAGCTAGTCGGCCCATGACATATTTAATGAGATTAAATCAAATTAACTTCGGGATTATCACACCTGAAAAAGACGAGCCCAGCGGGCTTAATACTTACAGTGCAAAGCACTTGTGTCTTCTCATGTTAGATAGCTTACCAGACATCTTCCCAACCTTTTTGCAAGAGAAGGTGTCAAAGCTGTAGAGAGAGCATGGTTAGCATGCCAGTGTTTGCAACATGTGGCAGTCTGGATGAGCTACAACCTTGTATAACAAATAGGATTCTCAGAATAAAGAAAAAATTAAAACTATATACTAATAAAGTAAATACATAACATAATCAAACTAATATATCAAACATAAATTAGATTAAAGTAACGAAAGCAATTTAATATGCCCTCAAAGTCCGTGGGAAGCTGAATCCTCCTATCTTCAGGGATGTCTCCAGTATCAAAACATTCTGTACTTAAGGGTGCCAATTATAACATGGCAGTGAGGCATTCGTTGCATTTAAAGCCAGGTGCAGTAATTGTGCGTTTTTCAAGCTTATTCATCAGCATGCAAATAGCACAAGTCATATTTTGACATCAGCCTCTGACATTGGCTATATTTCCTCCCGTTTCTGACATTGACAGTATGGGCAATTTTGGTCTCCTTCATCCTGTGAATCTCTTGTGCCTGGTTCTCCAAAGCAGGTGCAGTTTACGAGACGTTTTCTAGAGGATAAAAGAAAAGGAAAATTTGGGGGGGAAAAAAAACCGATTGGAAAAAATAGTTAAAGTACATTGGAAATGGTAAAAAAGGCGCATAATGTCTAAGACTTCTGATTTAGCCTTTACTGTGTACCGCAGTACTCAATAGTAGCTGATACGTATCCGATTCTATTTACAAGTAATGAAAGTCATGGATCTTTTACATTCTCTTCACACTGTGAAATAGAGAGCTGCAATAGGCGAGTTAAAAGCGAGAAATGTGGTAAGTGCTGAAGAAATTCAGGAAGCCATTTTAAAGTATCCTGGTACATTTGTCGCACCCAAACGAATATACAGGAAGTTTAGTTCCTGAACTAGGCCAGATGGAGACACTGTTAAGAGCCAAATGATTCACTTACAAGAAACCAGCCTTGGTACCTTTTAGCAAGTACCAAGAACTGAATTTTTTCTATGAAGTCACTCATACAGCTGGAAATACGGAAGCCTTAGCTAATTTTGGTATATCCCCTGTCAAAGCGGGATCATCCAGTAAGACAGGCGTTAGCAATGTGCGGAACGCAGTTTTCAG